AGTGGCAGGATGACATGGGCAAGAAGCAACTGGAGAAGGACTTCAATAGCATGAAGAAATATTGCCAGGTCATCCGCATTATCGCCCACACTCAGGTAAGCATGTCCTGTGTCATCTTGTTGGTGATGTACCTGATCAAGTAAGACATTATTTTTCATGCTGGGGATTGAACCCAGGGCCTCTTGCATGGTGGGCAAGCATGTAAGGGTTTGAGTCTTCCAAAAAAGTGCTGCTCAGATGTAAGCTCACAAGGGTTTTGTGCCCAACCAAGGACATATGGTATCCTCTAGAGGGTCCCTATATGCGTAGGTCTCTCTCTTTCCAGCAGAGGGCACTGTTCTCACCGTGAGTGAGGAAACCATACCTCATTTGGGAAAATCCCTTTCAAATTTGTTGACCCAACTGGTTAAGTTAGTTGTGAAATGCTGCATTGATGTGAACTGAGTGGGCCCTTTGTTGGCTTGGTGAAATAAGCACCTCATGTCTGGTGTGGTCCTAGCTTCAGGGCCTCTATAGCCCTGTGAGGTTAGAGATCACTAGATGGGTGAATGGATGGACTGTAGAGGTTTTTTTTTGTACTGGGATTGAACCAGAAAACTACCACAGAGCCACATCCCCAGCTCTCTTGGAGACAGTGTCTTGGCTAAGTTCCCCAGGCTAACCTTGAACATGGGATCTCCTGCCATAAGGAGTAACTAGGACTATAGGAATGTGAGGCCAAGCTTAGCTGGGGTACAGGATAAGCACCTTTACCAGCAACCCTCAGCTTGTGCTTCCGGTGCATTTTTTTTCTAACCCTTAACACCTTGTGTAGGGTTTTTTTTTTGTTTGTTTGTTTTGGCACTGGGGATGGAACCCAGGGCCTTGCGCACTAGCCAGCTACTCCTATAGTGAGCCACACCCCTGCTGTCTGCTCTTTACCAGGCCTTCCTGTCCAAATCAACTTTTAGTAGAGTAAGGGTAGATGAACTGGCTAAAAAGACAGTAACGGGGACAGGGCTGTCTCAGCCTCCATTGATCTACCAGAGGGACTCCAGGCCTGAGCTGAGCTGTGCCTGCTCTTTCCTAGATGCGGCTGCTTCCTCTGCGCCAGAAGAAAGCCCACCTGATGGAGATCCAGGTGAATGGAGGCACTGTGGCTGAGAAACTGGACTGGGCCCGGGAGAGGCTAGAGCAGCAGGTCCCAGTGAACCAGGTGTTTGGACAGGATGAGATGATTGACGTCATAGGAGTGACCAAGGGCAAAGGCTACAAAGG